TCATGACTGAATTGGTGTTGTAGGAATCAAATATCTCCATTTTTAAATATTCTATTGAATATTTGAATAATTATAAGAATAAGAAACATTCAAGATATAATTCACTTTTATAACTAAATGAGGAAAAAACGCTTATGCTCAGTATTGTTCATATACAGCCATATGCAAAGGTTTGGGCACCCCCAAACATTTAGTTGATTTTCTATGTAAAAAATTAAGTACAAATCCTCTACAGAGCAAACACATCTGCACATTTTAATGAACAGTTACTGTTTATTTGCTGACTTTAACCTATTAGGAAAAAAAATTAAACATAAATGTAGCCTGTACAAAAGTTATGGCATTTTTTTATGTTATATATTGTATTTTTTCCAATATGTTAAACTTGTACACTGAATTTTGCAAACAAATGTCACATTTGTATGTGCTACATGTAGAGGATGTGTTATCTTAGTTTTACTTCAATAAAATTTGACTGGAGGTTTTCAAAATAATAATAATATTTTATCTATTTATTTAATTTCCTTTAAAAATAATACTGTAGGGTAATAAAAAAAGTCACTTTTTAATTATTTTCATTCTAAGTTGTATTAAAATACTAAAGCATGTTTTAAACTGCTCTATACTGGAACTTTAACACTCACTGCGGTCTGAATAATTGTGCTACATCTCTAGACAACTAGCTCGCTTAAATGTTCTCATTTATTGCCTTAATAAGTGCTACTAAGCACATGCTAGCTAGCTAGAAATCCAGAGCTGAAGGAAACTTATTTCAGACTTATTGTTGCTTTGAAGTGTGATAAATTAGTTTGTTTCTCCTACAGAAGTGCATGGTAAATGGGGTAAATGCTATGAGTTAAATGGCTTTTCCTCCTTTAAAATTTCTTTATCAAATTTATTGAATATTGTTGAATATTTGTTGCATGCCAAAAATAGATTTACATCATTTTCCATTTACAATATAACACAAAATATGGTATATTCCATCTACTTATACAATACGGGATATGTATAGTCCATTTGTTATTAATTGAATTTATAATCAAATGGTTGTTATAAATTTTTCTGTGTCAGAAAAAAGCAGAAAATATATATTTGAAAGAAAATTGCAAATGCCAGTTTTTTCAGTGTTTAGTGTGTATGTTGTTTGCCTTTATGACAGCTTCTGTTCTTTTCAGCAGACTTGCTTTCAGTGTTTAAAGAAATCTGCAGGGATGTTTTTCCACACCTTCAAAGTTCAGTCTTAGAAGTTGGTTGCATTTTCTGCTTCTTGCAACCCGAGTAATCCCAAACACATTCAGTGATGTTTAGGTCTGGACTCTGGGGAGGTCAATCCATTGTTCTGAGAACAGTGAACCAGCTGCTTCTTTCTTTGATTTGTAAATGTTCTTTTTTTGTTTATTACCTTTTCTCAGTAAGGGCTTCTTGACAGCTATACCTCTTTTCAGACCTGTAGTGCTGAGTTGTCTTCTCACGGTGGAAGGATGGATGGACACACCTGTGGATTTTTTCAGATCTGAATCAAGAGCGGAGCTTGATTTTGTCCCCTTTCTTAGAGGTGAAATTGAGGGTGGTCTCTGACTTTTCCACAGAATTGTACAGAATGTGGAACATACTGCATTGTCTGAGATAATGAGAAAATCTGAGAGATTTATGGACTTGTTGTGGTTTTTTCAGTATTTGTATTAATACAGACAGGAACATCTAGGACAGCATCCAAACGCTTACAAAGTCTAACACTGCTAATATGACGTTTCCCTTGTTGAACCGTTTCACATTTGATAACTTTTCAAAGCAGACCTTTCATGTGCTTCTGAAACGTGTCGTTTTTTGTGTTTTTACTGTAACTGTGCTCCTCAAACATCCGTTGGGTTTTCACCACACGCGTGCTGTAATCTGCCTGTTGCGATGGAGGTTTCGGGTGACTGAGTTCAGCACAGCTTTGGCATATAGAGATACAGGAATGACCACACGTTTATTTTTGGGTAACCCTTCTGCGCTGTAAAGAGTATGACAACAGACCGTAGGATTAAGTGGCCCAACACGTGATCGTATGTTTTGATTCAGATTTGAGGGATGTGGTTATCGTGTTGTAAATGGATACAGTAAAACTTTTGTTCAGGAAGTATTAGCGTTTTCGTGGTCAACATCGGACCCTGTGTACTGAATGTATGACTTCACTTTAGTTTGTTTTACTTACAGCCCCCTGCCACCCAGGGAAAAAGATCACACTGTACTGTAAATGTAAGCTGAAATCAATACGATGAGTTTTGATAGGAAAATTGTGTCCCTGTTTCACTCCGTCTTGATTTGTCTCTGACGAGCAATGCAGACTCTCAGCTTGCCTTACCGTTATACATTGTCCTCAGCCTGTTTTCAAAATGCAATTCTTTTGAATTGGACCAGGTCTTTAGTATATGCAATGCATTACCCAAAATGAATTACCGCAGACAGCGTGCTCAATCACTTTTTATCTTTTGCCGCTTAAAGAAAAAGAAGAGTAATCAAAACCTTTCAACCTATTAGAGGGATGACTTTTACAATTGAATCACAGGGACCGCAGGTGCGATAACGAGACGGCTCAGCTCTAGTCTTGAGTGTGCGTTTCCACCTATCTCCAGATGTTATTTCATGTTTATCTGTTCTTTAAAAGCTCCACTTCTGAGAGCCCACTTCAAATTCATGTTGTAATGGCGTTTAAGGAAGGAGGCCTTTTTTAATTCTTGTGGAAAGCATGCTAAAGTGGCAAATTAAGGAGCATCTCGGAGGAAAACATGATGGAATCGATCAACACCCCACTGCACTTACAACTACATGTGTCCTGATGATATTTAATTTTCTAGTGCATTAACATGCGGTCATTACAACATGCAGCCATGGTTATTTGATCATAATGCACTTTCTTCTTAAAGAATCGCTGAAGTTTTCAGCCAGGTATTCTGCAGTTATTAGATACAGATGGGCACTTCAGCACTAAGTATAGATTTTCAGTCCCTGCACACTTAAGGCTTGGAGTTTGTCTTAAAGAGGATAATGGCAAATTAAACTCCATACCCCATTTATTCAGCAAACCTTGATGGGATAATTTTATAACTGCTGATTCACTCGTTTCCCAGATTTATCTCTAAAGTGGTTTGGTGGTCTGGCCTCTACAGTGAGGGGTAGTTTCTCTAAAGTTGCTGCTATTGGCTGATGATATACCATGGACTATGAGACGTGCCCAGTAATTGTCTATGCAAGAATTATTCCACTTTTCTAGTGCGTTTTGGATGACTTTTATTGTAGGTTACTTGGCTATGAACCATTTCACAGATCTAGTGGACCAGGTACTACAAATGTTCTACCCTTCCTTTTCCTAGATCTTGTATATCAGTACAAAGTGGCCAGCCGGTCGCATTAACCATTCAGTGAGCTACCAATGATTACAATGGTGTGATTACACAGCCGAATTAGGGTTTAGGGTCCAAATTTGAACGCCATTGCTCTAAACACTTAGGGCAAGTTTACCTTTTGCGTAAACATGCGTTTTGGTAAGTGAACCACATTCGGATTTCATTTGACTGCGTGAAAAGCCAGGTGTAAACACACCCTGGACGCACTGTGTTTGGGTTAAGATTGAATCACTCAAACCACATTCGAAGGTGGTCAGAGACAGATCTTGACCACATTTAACTCAAGTGTAAACAAAGTGCCTTTTTGTTATCTGTATAAAATTACGTGAGTGGAAAGCATGCTAAAGTGAGTAGCAGGTGAGATTTTAAACAAAGAAACTAAAGATGGAGGAAAACAAGGCTGAATCAGCCCAAAACCAAGAGCCTTCATGCACTCCAGGCCGAGGAAGGCATCCGGGTCGAGCTTGTCCACTCATATTGTAACTGGTAAAAGAGTTAACAAAAGTAAAATGCAAACAGTGCATGTGCTATTGTGCTTTATATGTGGGAAAAGTACAATCGGATCTCGTCTGGGCACACTGGAGACGCATTTTAGTGAAAAGTGTTAAAGGAATCCAAAATTTTTCCAAATATGATCCGGACACAAAACACATGTTAATGCAGTGTAATCTCTGTAGGCTCTCAGGGATGGTTTCATGGACCCAATTTAAGCTTTATCCCAGACTAAAAATGTTTTTTAATGATAAATCACCACTGATGTTACAGGTTAGTCCTAGATGAGGCTCAATCCATGTTCATAAAAACAGACCTTATAGGACTGATATCAGGAAAACTGAATTTTACTTGCTTTTTTAAAAATAAGTTTGTATAAGATGCAAACATTGTAACTGTTTCATGGTGTATTATTCAATCCCCAGTCCATTCAGCTTATACTGTTACTCTCAGAACAAAACCTTGTATCTTCATTTTTGTCATTTTTCATTTTTTTCACATGATATGAAAACTCCAGCTGGTCTTTACATTGTATCAGAATTTCAACAGGAACGGTCCAAAATAAGAATTAGATCCTGTTCTATTAACTCCCATTAAAAGTTAGAGATGGCTTTTCCTTTTTATCAAGGATGTTCCTTTTCCTGATGTATCCTGATCTTTTTTTGAGATAGGTGGTTTTATTCCAACCTTGATGATAGATGGAAACTAAGCTGCAAAAACAGCCTGTTTTGAATTTGTTGTTTTTGTGATGTCTTTTTTTCTATTTACATATAGCTGCCTATTCCATCTATAGCAGTTTAGCCACACCCATTTACACTGAAGTTATACGGAGAGTTTCAGTCTGAACTGCTTTTCTTGATCAGGCATAATACAGGTCAGCCAATCAGAATAGAGGTCATTTTCATATACCAGTCTTATAAGCATAGGAAAATGCTTATATTGTAAGGGAATGCTGTTTCATTCTAAGGGATAAAGAGAGGTTGGAAAACGGTCATGTAGAATGAATTTTGACTGTTTTAGGTACATAAACGTATACAAATATTACATGAGGACCTAGGACAAAAAATGCAAGAAAAAAGTAGAATATGGGCTTTAAGCTGTTTTCCTGCTTTACAGATCGCCACAGCAGTGAAGTTCTTGCAGAACCCAAAAGTTCATCAGAGTCCTTTGGCCACCAGAAAAGCTTTCTTGAAGAAAAAAGGTGAGTAGTGTCATATTTCCTGCAAATGAAGTATGTAATTACAAATGTATTTGTTTATGTTACTCGATTTGTGGCTAAAATGAGTAATGTCTGCTGAACACTGGACTGAGATGCTCATCTGCTGAGGTCATTTGCTTTTAAGGGTGAAAGGTCGATGCCATGGTTGCATGCCCCGAGGGGTCAGGTAGAGGTTGAATTTGCTGCAGAGAGCTTGATCCCAGCTGTGGGGGATAAATGACCTACTAGTTGGGACGCTTCTTTGGGATACAGAAAATTAATATTGACAAACTCTGCTGTACTTTCAATGGAATTGTCAATTATGCTACCTCCCAGCATTTTAAGGCTTTTACTTAATTTAGCTGTTATCATAAATATTAAAGCACTGTGGAACATTTTATCGATCGACCAACACATTTTAAGGCCGATGTGTTGTGAGCATACATATGCATTCACTCTAAATTTAGAGCTGTTTAGGTGTTTATCAATATATGTGTTTGATGTATGCCACACCATGCATCAAGCCAATATTGACTACTCTTTGCTCTGCATTAGAACATCAGACAAGAACATATTTAAGTTGTTTTTAGATACGTTTATGATTTTTAGGGATAAATAAAAACAGAGTTAAATTAATGCTGTGTATAATGTGGTATTAAATCTGTCAGATGCATGTATTGACTGACTCCCATGTTAATCCTGGATATTCCAAATAACTGTCATTTTACTCAATTCAATTACTGTGTAAAAGCCTCTCCACTTTGCGAATGCCATAAGTCTGCTAAAACTTAGAGAAGGCTGTTGTCCAAAGGGAAATATGTTATGACTAAAACAAACAAACTGAAAAAAGCTAATGATATTTGAAGATGTGGAGGGAATTTTCCATGTTTTTGGCTTTTGCTCTTAACTTGTCATGGAATGTTTTTCTTTGGAATAAAGCTAATGGTTTGTCCGTACAGGAGACACCTATACCCACATCAAACTAATCCTTTTATAGCATCAGCCTTTGACTTTCTTGTTGTAACACAGATCATAGCTTTCAGATGAAATATTTTTCCTTTCATTTCCTGCCTTAAATTCTTGTGTTCTTGTGGGACTAATTAACGGTGAAAGCAGGAAGATTTGGGCTCTGTTCGTGCTAGAAGAAGGCAGTGCATACTGAGCTTAAAAGCTCGACGACCAGAAGAGGTAACATGAGAGAAAAATCTATATTTGCCAACTGGTCCTGTTCACATTGCCAGGCTATTATGATTATCTAGTATCTCCGGAATTTTCCCTCATCAGTGCTTCTCGTTAGCAGCAGTTCCACGTTATTTATAATTCATAACTTGAACTTGCTTATTACATATTGCTGATACTAAACAATGACTTTTTCACTTTATGTAACATTTATCCAGTTTTAGGCACTTAAAGGTAATTAAATGAATAGTTTTTTTTGGCGGTGGTAGTGATGTTAAGGCCTATTTAGACATATTTTAATATATCAGGCATCGGCTGAAACAAGCCTTATCCCTGCTTTCTTAGAGGTGCCATAAATGGACGTTACCAAAATCTGCAGCATTAAGTCACGCTTCCAGAAGTTAACAAAACAATTTAAAGTTTACAGAGTGGAACTGTTTTACAGTGAAAAATAAGAACTTGTAATAACTACACTCATCATGTGTTGGCTTTGTTTGAACTGGCTGTTGGTTTGTTAAATGTGAATGCATGGCTATTATGCTTCAAGTCTATTTTTATACCGTTTACCGCAAGCAACACTTAAAGCTATGTAGACAAGTATGCAGAAAATGCATTTTAGTCGTGAAAATTTGTTAAAAACGGAAGTATCACTGAAACGTATTACCAGATGCAGTGCTGATTGCTTGTATCATAAAACTGCATGCTGGGGCATTAAGAACTGAGAGAAATGAGGAGGCTGATTTTCACACAACTATAAAATGTGTAGCTCACATAAGTAGTGGCAAAATAAAAAAAAAAAAAAGATATCCGTTAAGAAGCTAATACTACTGTGGACGTATACAATAGTGATTTAACTGCAGAGTATAAAAGTAACTGGAAGCCAAATCAACAGGGAGGTCAATCAGACTAGATCATAATTAAAATAAATTGGTCATTTAAAAAAAGTGAGTCAAAAACAGCAAAACAAAATCACTCTACAGTGTCACATTATGCACATAATAAAAATGATTTTACTGTAATATGAATTGGCAGGCTAGCATATCTTACCAAGATTATATGGCTGTATAATCTGAAAATATAAAGATCAAATCAGTATCGGCTGCTACTCAACATTACGGTACTCAAATTGGATCGATTGGAGGCAAAAATGGTTTGGGACACTCCTAAACAGGAGGATTTGAAGACTTTAACAATCTCAACAGTTCAGCTACAGTTGTATGCCAGGATGCCTGGTCACACTTGAGGTTTTATTGATTTTCTGAGTGAAAAGTTATGTTTTTGCTAATTTTAGTGCACAATTTCTGTTTATTTACTGCAACGTTTTGTAGTAAAACAATTTGAAAAAAGGTTTCATTTGATTAAGCTTTCAATATTAAGGTCACAATTATCAGTTAGATTTCTATTTTATTTACGTTTTTCTCCTACCTTTGTTTTTAATAGGTTCCATTTACAAAGGATAACCACTAACAAAATTCCAAATATTATATTTAGAATAGCAGCAAATTAAATGCAATGGTACACTGACATGAACAGAGAGGGCTGATTCATTTTGTCTTTGCTGACAGTGGAACTACATTATTTCATGTGGTGAAACAAGTTTAAACAAGATGTAATTGACAAAGGGGAAGAAAGTAGTTCCTACTTCTTCTTTGAAAAGTCTAAATTCAGTGCTCACTTGGATCCATTTTTTTATTTTGATTTAAAATTTTACGTCCCTGCACTCAAAGAACTGTGATGAGTCTGACACGGGTAAAGAAGGCAGTTAAAGAGGGTGAATATCTTTGTGTAGGCTTCTAATTTGGTGCCAGTAAATAGATTTGGCTTTATAGTATTAAATGCACAGTGCTAGTGTTTCCCTTTGGTAGTGACCTCTCTTAAAGTCAGCGGTGGACCCTAATGGGAAACAGTGAATCCTGGACTATCATAGCAATGTGCCCCCAGGGTATGCTTGAGCTTCAATAGATCTATAAGCTCGAAGACTCGGCCACATGACATTGCTGTTCTAAGCTGATGATGTATTTTTTGTGTGTGTGTCTGTCTGTATGGACATTTGGAGATCTTTGAATGAGGGCACCGTTTCTAGGTCACTTGCCTTTTAATCACCAGTCCTAGGAAGCGAGAGGTTATTTACACAACTGTGTGTTAGCACAGTACTGTTTAATTTGCTCACTGCTCTTTCAGATGTTGACGTCTTTTGATTCAGTGTATTGGTATTGGCCAAGTATCAGAAAATTCTGGATCGGAAGGACAGAAAAGATAAATCTCATCCAATCCTGTAATAAATCTGCCCTGAAAAGCACATGAAATTATGTCATATTGTAATTTTTCCTGTGGGCTAGTAGTGTTCGAGCAGTTTGAGTGTGATGTCTATATTTGTCTGTGACTGTCTACATTTAGATGCTCATCTGAAGTGTAGCCACTAAGCGTAGGATAAAAAGTACTTAACAAGTTCTCAGTAAGTCAGTTTGCATTACAAATTGTATAGCCATTTATGGTATTTAGTTGCCAAATACATTGAATTCTTCACTAATATAACTATTAATAGAATTCACATTTTTAAAAAGGTTTGACACTCATGTATTCCCAGCATGTTGTGTGATGGATGTTTCAGGTGCTATAGCTGAAAGTAAAAATGGGGAAATTAAGGGGTTAAATAAATGTCATTTTAATAACATGACAATAACACATCTAAAGTGACTCATTAAACTCTTATTAGCTCTTAAGTGATACCATCCAGAAGTCATGTGACACTGTCTAGAACCTAAAGGCATCAAAATCTGCCAATTATGCAGTAGTTCTACATTAGTGTGAATTTAAGAGGCAATTCATTCTCAATAATTTGTATAACAAGGTTTTAATAAAGTATGTATTGTGTATTATTACAACTAATACTGTAATTAGTAGTGATACATAAGAAGTGTCTAACTTTACTGAACAAAGAACAAGACCTTGATGAACCCCTAATATGCAGTCCTTAATAAAGTAAGGCTAGTTTAACGGTTTTTGCAGAAAAATATTGGATCGTTATCGGCTGATGCTCAAGATTTCAACATCTCTATCAGCCCTGGATAAGAAAAAGTAGTACCGTGCCATCTGTAACTTCCAGTCAAATGCTTTGAACAGCTGTGACAGTATGAATAAACTTATATATAGAGCAATTGTTGCCGTGTCAATTTGCACAGCTTCTTCTTGATGAGTTTTGTAAATCACTTGCAGGCTGATGTTATGGTGTCACAGTAACCCCTTATACTTTGATTGTAGTTCGGCAATTAGCCTCCTTTGGTTTCGGATAAGGACTTCTCACCATGAGTTATGTCTCCGAATAATGCTGGCTTACAAGTGAGCTGTCTGTAAATTTGCATGTTATGGAAAATCGCCTTGTGTCAGCAAAAGGCCATTTCTACAGCGCCTTACCTTGAACAATGTAATTATGTCACAATGTTGTATCACTTTGAAAGCGACTTGTGCAATTTGAAGGGTACGAGGGAGGGAGACTAATCTGGAGGCAAAGTGCTGAGTAATCGTAAGCCAATTTCACTTTATTGAATTTCACACAAAATTTCCCTTTTTTTCCCCAGAGCCCTGCTGAGTTCACAGTAGCAGTTTATGCAAGTGAGCTCCTCCTTGCGCTATTGCTGCAGTCTTTTTTACCCAGTTATTTTTCAGTCATTTTCCCTGAAAGCAGAAATTTTGTTTGATTGACATTTTCATATTAAAACTTACCTTAAATACAGTAGCAGAAATGACAGCTTGATAGTTATGAGGGTGACCTTTAATTTTCTCTGTTTATAGCTAAAACCCATTTATTAGGGTTAGGGTCAAAC